CAAATTGGGCCAATACATTTTTCCAACTATTCATGGGTTGAGAAAGAAATCTGGACAACATAAAACATTTAAGAGAAGATCTTATGGTTAATTATATGAACCCTCATCGATAATAAACCATAACCTAATTTCTAATTAACAAAATTCAAAATGGCTATACATTTTATTTATTTAAACATTTAGAATGTCACAATCATTGAACTGTTGCCAAATTGGTTTCTATAGCAAGGTGAAATATTTAAAATGGCACAAACATTGAACTACTATGACTTGACAAGCACAATAAGGTCTTCCAATTGTGAACTTTGGTGAGTGAACATGTTGCTTTGATGATGCATTTTGCTTAATCAATTGCTTTCAACATGAACCCAATTGCAGGTTTTGTACCCTTCCAATTCCCTTGCAATCTTGGTAGCCATTTACCCATTGCCTTGAGGCAATCATTCATCAAATCCTGCTTGTAACCTCAATATAGATCCCATGAATTAGAATGAGGTAGCAAAATTAGTAATGCCAAGCCTAATCAGCTCTATTGCATCATTTTGATGCCCCATTGAAGCTAGGAATAGGGAGTCGTCGTATAAACTTCGTGATCGCCGTCCTCTCATCCACAATATTTTTCTCTGTTGACCTTTTTCATGTCTTCTGATACATGCATTCAAAAAGTAAACCGTGGCTTTAAAAAGAAAGAAAAAACCATTCGAAACAAAATCAAATTCAATGGTCTTTTTTGTTGTTGTTATATTTATATTCTATGATTATCATTGCTTGAGCATCTTCATTTGTTGAATTAGAATACTATTGATTAACTGGTTACACTGTATTTATACATAATTCATTGAAGAAAAATGAACAAAATGGGCTTCTAACTGCCAGTATACCTTGCTTTATACCTTAGTTTTTCTTCTATTCCACTAATATTTAAAAAAATTCAATTTTTGGTATCTCTTTGCAGTTTATAGTACGATCCTTGTGTTTTTTGCATTCTCATAATTGCATTATCTTTGTTGCGCAGTACTATATTCTTTTTTTTTGTTGAAATTTCTTCAATAGGTGATTTAAAAAATAGTAATAAATAAATAAAATTAAAAAATTAAAATAACATTATAAGAAGCTTTGTATGCTTTCCCTACAATATAAAACTTATATACTTTCCCTTATCTAACCGTCCATTCTGAATGGAGGGTTAATATTGCCCCAATCACAATGTCAATTCTCTACACTATTTTATTTTTAAGTTTTTTTTCTATAAACCATTTTGACACCAAATTTTGGACGTCCAATATTCTATTAAACTTGCAATAGATAAAAATATAAAAACATTATTTTCAATAAAATAAAATAACCAAAATACCCCTGAAAGTTTTAAGGGGTATTTTGGTCATTATATTCTATCAAAAAATTATTTTAAATATTTTTTTTTATAGGAGCACCCGGATGAGAAGATGGCACGTACCAATTCATACAATTTGTATAAAAAAACTAAAATAAAATACTTTGAGACGTCGGATCTAAGATCAAACAGTGAATGGCTCTCTTGATCAAAATTAGACAGCTGAATGGTAGGGGAAGCATAGATCTTCTATGTTGTAGGATAAGTATAGAAACCTTTCTGATAATATTTTATAGGATAGATATTAAAAGGGGTACAATAAATAAATAAATAAATAAATAAATAAATAAATATATATATATATATATATATATATATATATAACTTTTAGCACAAGAAGGTCACGATAACTCTTGTCCTTTAAATTTCAAATTGGGTGGTTGTGAGTAATGTCATTGACTAGATTCAAAGTCCAAAAAAGAATTTCTAGAACTCCATGACATACCCCAAACCATTCAATTTGACATCTAATAGCTGCGATTAATTGTGATCTTGTAAGAACAGTAAATTGGTCTCATAGTATATACAATCCTTTTGAATCCAAAATTTTGATCTGAGCATGTTTCACAGGTTTTATGCTCCATACTTTATGAGTTAGAGCTACCACAAACCTTAATTGTTGTTAAGCTCTTTTAAATTTCTTTTTTACTTAAGGGCGATTAAAAAATCATCACAAGACATGCAGAGGGCTGCACAGGAAATCTATATCAAATGATTCCTCTTCTTCGTGAGCTTCCTCTATGCATTGATGTTGTTGCCATTATTAGTCTTAATTACTCTACAAGAAAGCAATAAAATCTAATAAAATTTGGGAATACACAATATTTTTAGAAAAACACTATTTCAACATAAATTGAATGTATTTGGGTTGGGATTTGCGTCAATAAAACTCTTAAACACCCAAAGAAAGAAATGTATACAATGAGATCGTTTACTTTTGATAAAAAAAAATCACAATCATCATCGACCATTATATTTAAAATCAGGCAGATAAGGTTGTGTTATTCTTGGGGCACAAAGTCGAAAACAAAAATTCTTCAAATGTTGTGACACACTTTCATATTTTGGACTTCATATCCAATGATTAAAAGACATTGTAACATCCTTATAAAGAAAATAAACGGTCTCATAGTATACAATCCAAAAAGAAAAAAAAGAAAAGAAAAAAAAAAAAGCAAAAAGAGAAAAAATTTAAAATTATTAAGAAAAACTTGTAATGTCAGAAAAATTCCTTGCCCTAAAAATCAAGAATAATTTGCTCTAAATTAAAAATAAACTTCGGGAAACATTCATGCTTTGCAATTCCTGTAAAGAAATTGCAAGACTTAAAAATTGCCCGAGTTCACTGTAAAGAAGTTAGAGAGAGAAGAATTAGAAGATTGATCAATCTTCTAATATGAATCAACTAGGTAAGGTCCAAGGGCGGTTAGTCCCCGTTTTGCACCCACCAGAACCTGAGACCCACAAATGCAACCAAGACAATTACTAGTCGGGCTGGCAAGTTTTTTCATCAGGGGTTTAATCCAGGTCTTATAAACAACTGGACTTGAACTCACCGCTTCGATTCGGGAATTGTTGGGGCCAGTTTGGTTCTGCCTAGATGTATGGAATAGTCCAGCCAGTTCTCTAACAAAACCAATCATAACTGCTTTCACTTTATTTTCTAATATTTTTTAATTCTTTTCCCTATTTTTTTTCATTTTATTTACTGTTTCATTAGGCCGAATCATCAATCCGAACTGATTTTCTGAAGGAGCAATCTGGGTCATCTAACTGTGTTTCTAAACCTTGGTTTAATGCGGTTGGGAATAAATTAGGGTTCTTAGCCTGGTGCATCATCCGTATAATAAGAATAAACTTACTGGGAAGTCCAAGGTTCATGAGATCAATGGACTTCTATTGTAAGAGGCATCAGGTTTTCCTTGAAAATTTGTGAGGAGAAAAAATTGTAACGGTCAAATTTCAAAGTTTTAAGGAAAAATGAAGAGTTAATTAGTTCGGATCTTATATAAGTTAGAAAAATACGATTTTTTGTTTTTATGCCCCGAAATTACAACCAAAGTCGGTCAATATAATTTTTTTTGAGCAAAATTACCCTTCAGTCCTGGGACTGCATTTTCATTTTAATTTTTATTTTTATTTTTTTTCATTCGTAGGGCAGTACTTGAAGGTTTGGGGCACTTCCTAAGCGGTCCGAGGATTCGGCCCATTGCTTCTTTCTTTAAAAAAATGAACTACTAGGCCGGTCCGAGGTCCCCATCTTCGAACAACTATTTCTTTTAGCATTTTGGTATGAGGATGGGGACCTCAGACCGCTCAAAAAAATGAATTATCAGGGTGGTCCAAGGTCCCTATCCTCGAACTGCTATTTATTTTAAAATTTCGGTTTGAAGATGGGGACCTCGGACTACACTCTTGACTAAAAAAAATGAACCGCAAGACAGTCCAAGGTCCCCATCCTCGGACCGCTACTTCTTTTAAAATTTCAGTCCAAGGATGGAGACCTCGGGCTGCTCTCTAGATTATAAAAAAAATGAATTGTCAAGGCAGTTCGAGGATTTGAAACTCGGATTGCCTGGGAAGTTCCGCAAACCTTCGAGCATTGTCCTACCAATGAAAAAACAATAAAAATAAAATGTGGTCTCATGATGGCATCCTCATACCGTAGGGTGATTTTGTCAAAAAAAATAAAAATAAAGAGTTGGTTGACCGATATTGATCGTAATATTAAAAGAAAATTACAATAAGACTACATGCAATTTACTCTTAACTATTTTTTCTCACTTTTTTCCTTTAAATACATTTATTATGCAGATACCCAAAAAAAAAAAACCCTAAACTACAATCCCTTCTTTTTTACTTTAGCCATGCCTCCCTCTCCTTTATCCCACCAAAATAGGGGGTTCGATGCTATGTAAGTGTGGTATGGCGGTAGGGGTATTGTGTAAATGCGGTCCGACAGTAGGGGTCAGGTATTGTGTAAATGCGGTCCGATAGTAGGGCTCTGACATTGTGTAAAGTGAAGTCCGACAGTAGAGTTTCGGTATTGTGTAAAGTGAAGTCTGTCAGTAGAGCTCCGATACTGTATAAAGTACGCTCCGACAGTTACAAAAGAATTCCAAGGCTTCGATACTATGTAAAAGGCTATCCGACAGTAATCAGTTTCGATCAGGTAGTTGTCTTAAAACGGTCCGACACTTGCACTCCGACAATGTGCTATTGGGTCCAAAAAGTTATTATCAAATTTAGCCTTAATGATTTTTGTGTTTGAGAAAGGCATTTTTGTCTTAAAAATATATTTTTTTCCTTGGACGTATTTATTTTGAGAGTTTGTTTCAAAAAGTGAGAAAAAATTAAGTTGGGGTAAGTTGGATAAAAAGCATTAACCGTAAAATGTAACATGAAAGTAAGAGAGAGAGAGTAAAAAGCTGGTGGTGGTTTTCCCTGTGACAACAATCTTTCCAATCAAACCGACTATGAACGTCGCAGTTGAAGTTCACGGGAGCACGCGTCTTTGACCCTGACCATGACTTTCAGTGATCCTCTTTCTCTCCCTAAAACCTACGGCTGCCACCACCACTTCAACCATGGAAGAGTTCTCTAAACAATGGAAGAGCGGCTCCTCCTCTCTCTCCTCTTCTTATCTCTCCTCAACCCCTCTACTTGCACAGATCCACAATGGGTCCGCTGCGACAACTCCCAAAATTACACCTCCACCTCCCCCTTCTCCGCCAACCTCGCCCAATCCCTCCGCCGCATAAATGAGTCCACTGCCCACACCGGCTTCGCCGTCCTCACACATGGCAGCGGCGATGACAGTGTCACCACCCTCGCGCAATGTGAGTCTGACCTCGGGTTCAACGACTGTCAGCAATGCATCACCGACGCCACGGCGGTGATCCGACAGCGCTGCCCTAACCAAAAGGTAGCGCAAGTCTGGTACGAGCTCTGCACGCTCCGTTACTCTCATGAAAACTTCACCTCGCAACCTCTCAATGGCGTTGTATATTTTGTCGTTACCGTGGCCAACACCACCGATCCTGATAGTTTCAACAGTGTACTTGGGCATCTGTTGGGGGAGCTCTCAGATAAGGCGTCAGAGGGGGGGTCTCGGTTTGCTGCCGGAAGTTCGACTGTGTCAGACTTCCAGTCAGTCTATGGGCTGGTTCAATGCACCCGCGATCTAAGTCAGTCAGACTGCAAGACGTGCTTCGAAGAAGCTGTGGCTCAAATCGCGAGGTGTTGTGCCGGAAGAGTTTCGGCTCTGATAGGCTCAGGAAGCTGCGTCGTACGCTTTGGGTCGTCGCTGTTCTATAATTGGACGGCGGTGGAGGCCGCGCCACCTACACTGCCGCCACCACCAGTGCGAGTCGCTCCTCCGCCTGTGGAGATCGGCGGAGGTGGAGGCAGTAATAATAGGATTGGAGCAGTGGTGGGGGTAGCGGTGGCGGTGGCGGTGGCGGTGGGGGCGGCGGTTTTTTTGGGATTTTTGTGTGTAATGGGGATAAGAAAGAGAAGAAAAAAGAATCGGATTGTGAGGAAGAGGAGAAAGGTTAGTGGAGGGGCGATGAAGAGGGAGGATGGTGATGAGGTAGGAGAGGAGGAAAGCGTCTTTTGGAAATTGAGTACGTTGAAACTGGCCACAGACAAATTTTCGGACGAGAATACCCTCGGGAGTGGTGGATTTGGGGCAGTTTACAAGGTAAAGCAGTTTCAATGATTTGTTTGGAAATTAAGGAAGTGTTAAAACATGAAATGCAGGTTAAACCTAGCAATTAATGCCGTCCAGTGCTTTGTGTTATCTGCTCCAATGTTAAAAAAAAAAACATTGGATTGTATACTAATAGACATTTCATTTATCTTTGCTATATAAGGCATCATAATTACTCTAGTTATTAGATGTCAATGACAGACAGTACTTATTTTTAATATGATTTATGTATGTATCCTAATTTTTTTTTAAATAAAAACATTCTCTATTTATATGTGAAAATTATAAAGAAGGGTAACTCGCCTTGTCTTTATTTTTTTTCTAAATTTCCCTTAAGTCCGAGGGACTGAATTTTATTTTATTTTATCGTTATTAGGGCACTACCCTAAAACTTGAGGCACTATCCTATTAATGAAAAAACTATAAAATAAAAAATAAAATTTGGATCGAGATTTCTATCCTCAGATTGAGGTGTAATTTTTTGTTTTTTTTTTTAAAAAAAAAGGTGGATTGATTTTGTAATTTTCACATGTAAAAAAAAATATTTAGGGTTCATACGTAAATCACTTTTATTTTTAAGTTTGGTCAATGATATCTTTACAACCATCCGTTTTAAAATTTGACAGACAAGAGTGATTGTGACAACTTTACGCCAAAAGTAAATGGCCTCTTTATATGCTTTTCTTTAAAACAATTATATTTTCGAACTAGAACCACCTATGCGATTTAGAACTGGTGTGCCCCTCCAATTTCTTTTATTTTATATTTATATACCAACATGGCAATTGCCCAATTCAGAATAGGTCCTCTGATGAACTGGATCCAATTGTGATTTTTTAAACAATGGTCTAAAACTTGTGTTGCGTACTGATTATAAATTGTATTGATTATAAATTAGAAAAGTATCGATCATTTATTTTTGGTAAATAGTGGTCACAATTAATCTTGACCATTGGAAGTAAAATTAAGTGGCTAAATTTATTTTATTTTATTTGCAAAGCTCAAAGTTCAAAAGAAATTTTTTTAAACTCTGACATATCGAAGGTATCATATTTCACATTAAATTGTTATAAGTAATTGTGAGCTTCTTATACTAATAGTAAATGGTCTCGTAGTATACATCCCTTAGAAATTATGCATGCCATAACGTGTATATTTTTCATTAACTGACATATGCATATATATTTTAGAAAAAGTATACAATGAGATCATTTATTTTTGGTACAAGCTGGTCACAATTAATCTTAACCATTGGATGTGAAATTAGATGGTGCATTTATTCCATTGACCAAGCTCAATCTTCAAAAGAAAATTTCTCAAACTTTGTGACACATCCAAGCATTCAAATTTCACATCGGATGGTTGCAAGTAATTTTGACCACCTTGTATCAAAGGTAAATAGTTTCATTGTATGCAATCCCTATATTTCATTGGTTATTTGTTCTGACTCCATAAAATACATATTGATTTAGGGGAGAATGAGAAATGGGACAGAGATTGCGGTGAAAAGGCTAGCGGTGGGATCGAATCAGGGAATTAAGGAATTCAAGAATGAAGTGAAGCTGCTTTTGAAAGCACAACATAGGAACTTAGTCAGATTATTAGGATGCTGCATGGAAGGGGGCGAGAAAATGTTGATCTACGAATACTTGCCAAACAAGAGCTTGGACAAGTATCTTTTTGGTAAGAGAAATCCCTCTCTCTCTATCTCTCTCTAACAATGTTCCATAATTTTATTGCTTAAGAGAAAGTTACCACAATTCTAAACCAAAGCAGAATTAGACACAACAAGAGATTGAAGAGTCAACCCCCTCTTTGCATATGAATCCGCAACGTCATTAGCCTCCCAAATCACATTTATGAAAGAGACATCCAACTGATCTCCAATATCCAATGCTTCTAACCAATATGACCTCAACCTCCATGGTGATTTCCTAATCTTTGAGCACCAACTTATTACATTCAAGGAATCCCCTTCGGCAACACAAGGATAAGAAAAGTTCTTGTCCTTCAAAATTTTTAAGCCTTGAGGAGCTGCTAACATCTCTGCTTCATTAGCTGTTTTTTCACTACACGGACCAGCAAAACAAAAGAGGATATCACCATCATGATCCCTATGCCTGTTGGCCCGGGGTTCCCAAAGGAACTACCATCGATATTTAGTTTTATACTTCCTACTTTCGGGGCCTTCCAACGACCTTTCGGCCTTACTTTTATAATGTTTTGCTGCATAAGTTAACCTCTACATCCACCTTAGTAATACCAAATCTTTCCTTTGTTATTGAAAACCGGCTCCAGATGGTGTATGTTATCTTTTTCCTCAACAATTCTCCTTCCAATGTTACCCCTTAAAAAACTCACCCATATCTCTTCCAACCACACCTCCCATAGCACTGCTTCCCTTCCGATGTAAAAGATAGCACTGTGTTAT